CGTAAAACCATGACTACCAGGTCTTTTATTTTTATTGAATGAATTATTCTTGTCTTTTAATGTAATTTCAATTTTTTCTAATGTTTCACACTTGGATTTAAGAAATTTGTTTATATCATTCATGCTTGGTAAATTTTCTTCGTATTTAAACTCTTCCCAATCGCGTCGTGTTGTTAAATCAAATTTATTTGCCAAGATATAAATTATTAATCGATCCCAAGAATCAGTGTTTTCTCCCAAACTTTTTAGTGAACCTAAATGTTTAGTTACTGTGTCGTATAAATGTCTTAAATCTTTGTGTGACTCATGAGTTAATTTAGGATGCTCAAAAATACTTTGAATATGATTGTGAATCATTAAGGCTTTATTCTCAAACCTATCCACTAAAATTTGCCACGCAACTTTATAATTATTGGCAGTAACTTCTACCGATTGAATAACTTCAAGGACACTTTTATCCAACGAGGATTTTAAATAAAAAAACTTTTGGGTTTCATTTAAACACTCATTTTGGTCAATCAAACTTGTAAAAGTATCCTTAAATTCTAACCAAGAACAATAATGACCATTAAACTTTGGCAAGGTTATGGGGGGCAATTTTATTGATGGTTTAATATATGCATTATTTGTTATACCAATATTATTTAAACTATTATTAATACTTGCTGCTCCAGAGGCAAATTGATCTTGTGCCGAATTTTTATCTGATTCATTATAATAAATTTTAATAATGGATTTTGCTTTACCCACTACTTCAAAATATTTTTTCTCATATTCGGCTTCTTCCAAGTCAAGTTCCTCTACATTATTTATTAAAATACCTAATTGTAAAATAATTTCAGTAAACTCGTTTAGTCCAGGTTCAATATTCTCTAACCGAGTTTCAATTTCCCCGATTATTTCATCATTTAATTCATCTTTATTAATACTTTCAATAAATCTTTTAAATCTCGTTAATTTACTTTTTAACGACGCTTTTTTAGCCTTTAAATTTGCTTCCTCGGACATTTTAAAATACAGACAGAAAAATACTTTTTATTAATTAACTTCTCACTAACCTCAATAGCCCTTCTTGAAGAACCCTTGGTGGAACAATCCAACTCCTCCGTTGCGTTGGTTTCCGATTCACAAGATGGCTTCTGCTTTTTGCTAATCGACCAACAATATCGATTTTACTGCGATTACGGCAGAACGTGGCAGAACTAGACCTTTTAAAACTGGCACTACTTATCCGGTTCGATTGGACCAATGTTTTGTATGGGGTAATAAAACCCAAAGTGGACTGTAAACACTTTTTATTTTGACTTTTTGACGGATCGACACGAAGCACGTCTAGTCTAGTTCGCCATGTTGGTTGAAGAGAGCGAAAAGGGTGACGTTCTAGACAGCGTTGCCAATTTTTTTTTATAATTTTAGCAATGAGGCCTTAACAAGGTACCAGTTGTCGATTTCCTGATTACCTATATATTATTAACTTATCATAGGTATAGATAAGACGAAAACCACTTAAAATAAATCGGTTGACTTTAAGAATACTACAAACAAATAAAAAACTGAAAACATGAGCATTAAGAACAAAACAACTTTTATGAGATTTTACCGAGTTTGTAATAATGTTGTAGTAAAGGCATAATTTAAGCTAAGGGATGACGTGGCAGTGTTTTTGATCTCTTGCCTGGATAGCGGATGCCGGCTTGACAGTTCAAAAGGAAATGCTAATGTTTAAAAAAATATACATTCAGATGCAAAAAAATCAACGAAAAATATTTTCGTCAAGTTTAAAGTGTTATATTTTTTTTAATTTTATCCCAATTTTGATCAATTTTTTTACAAACTGTATATAAAACTATCAACTTTAATTCATAAACGCAGTTTTTAGATACTTTAGTATTTGGATTATTATACAGATAAATTGAAGGATAGTTTTTTGCCTTAACTTTAAAAGACTCTGTGCAATAATTTCGTAAGTAACTCTTTGGAAAACATTGTTTTTCGATCAGAACCCTGTCTCCTGAACATTTTATTTTTTGACTCATGTTAACTTGCCTCGGTCAATTAAAGAGCGAAAAGAACTTGCCACCGACAATTTGCAATTTTTTCAACTATCATAACTTTATGATGTTTTCTAATATCATGAGGTAACTTTGGTGACTATTGTCATAATGTCATATCGACACTGATTAGAACTCCATATTAAAATTTAAAAAAACATTAAAAAATGTCAATACAGGCTTGGTTTTAATAGATGTTAGTAAAACTAATAGAAGTAAATACATTAAAAAAAATAACTGTAATAACTAAGTGTACAAAAAAACAAAAACCTTGTAAAAGATGCTTTGTATTGCCTTCCTCGGCTGTTATAACTATCTGTAGACGTTGGTTCATACTGTTAATGAGGCTGCAAGTATATTGTGCTATGTTTTCCCATTCTTCTTCAAGGATCAAGCCAATTTTGATAATTTCGGATATCTTTTACAAGATCAATGACTTTGCAAACATTTTGACACTAAGATCTATATTCAATCATACACAACAATAATCACCAAAGCCACCTCGTTATTATGAAGAATAACATCAAAAAGTAACGGTAATCGAAAAAATTGCAAAATGTTTCTGGTAAGTTCATTTTGTTCTTAAAAATTAACCAAGGCATGTGTTGAGATGAGTCAAAAAACAAAATATTCAGGAGACATTGTTCTGAGCGAAAAATAATCTTTTAGGAAAATTTGCTCACGAAATCATTGCACAGGGTGTTTTAAAGATGGGATAAAAAAACTCTTCAATTAACTCTGTATAAAAAGTCAAATACTAAAGTTTATAATAAACTAAGTTTACGAATTAAAGTTGATATATTTATAAACAGTTTGCTATGGAAATAGAGATAAAATAAAAAAATAAAACATTTTAAAAACTTGAATTAAAAATTTGACTTAAATCTTTTATAAAAATACTTATATATTCTAAAGGATATAAGTTTTTTTTTTAATTACTGTTTCTTTTTTTACTGTCTGTTTCACAAATCATTTTGAAAATGACTTATATTTCAAGTCTTAAGTCCGCTTTCCAAAAAGGACTTAGTCATTTAAATGGTTTAAATCTAAAAAATATTTAAGTTTCTGTCAACTTTCAGCTCTGTGTATAAATAGGTTACATAGCATGATACCGTATAAATTGATTTTAGAATGTGTGAATCTAAGTATTCTACTTTTTGGAGGAATAAATATTAAATAACAAGTTGCTCCTGTGTGGAAATGAAAATGCCACTAATGACCATAAATAAAAAAATGATTTCGACACATTCCCTTTTACATAATATAAATAATTTACGTCAAAGGAAACAACAGACAAATGAAAGGCTTATTATACGGTCGGATGCACTTTTTATCCTAAAATAACAGAAATACTATAATCATAAATTATGCTGAGCAGAAAAACAAGCACGACATTCGTTCTAGAAATGTATGCAAATTCGAGACGAAAGAAATAAAATGGCCACTGGCCCTCGTTTAACTTTATTAAAAAACTGTGAATAGGCCCCGAGTATTATACCACACCACATATTTTCAGATATAAGTTCTAAGTCGGAAAAAATAATTCTTGGAATTATGGTTCTTCTTTAAATACATTTTATAAAATACTTGAATTATTAACCAAATCCCGACTTTGAACTTTGTTACAACTGGTGTTATTTGATGAAATTTGTAATAAATCTCTCCACTTAAAATAAAAACTAAAAGAATAAACGTATTATAAGCTTGTAATATATGAATTTTTAATTAAATAACTTTAATTATTATTAAGTATTAATTGTTTATTTAAAATTTTACTTGACTGATATAGTGATCAGTGTATTAGAACGTCTACACAAGTTATACACAAATGTGTTCTAGAAATAAGTTATATTTGGCGAATTTAAATAAGGTTTTCCTAATTTTCTTAATTTTCCCTTTTGACGACGTTGGTCTGAATTTTTGCTCAGAAACATTTTTGTTGTTTTTGCAGGTTAGGATATTTTCTTTTCGATTAAAATTCTCTTAAATAAATATCTACGCGCTGAGTTATGGCGACTCGGTCGGTTTATATTCAATACTAGAATTTAAAGGACTAATAAAAATATAGGATCTTCTTTCAATGCGCAGTAGGGAACCCAACGTTTACCGGCAGCCAGACGGGCCGCATCCTGTTCTAGAGAGCATAGTAAAAAATATATCAAAGAGCCAGATGTCTTAAAATACTTGTTTTTCCGTTGTTGCTAGCTCTCGTACTATTTGGTTAGAAAAGTTTATTGTTTTATAAGCTAAATATTATGCTTTCTCTATGGATACAACAGACTACCGCAAGCTGTTGCTAGGATATTTTATTAATTTTAATTGTGTTTTTTAGACATTGTGAATGATCGTAAACTAAAAAGTATAAAGTCTAATTGAAAACACTAATTTATTCCACTAATTGAGAGGTTCTGAATGAAGCTTAAGTGATACCTAATTGGACACTAATTATGATCAAGATCTGATCTTGGTTTTGCGATCTTTGTCTTGATCTTGCATATTTTACAAGACCAAGACCAAGCATGTAAGACTGTTGCGGTCTTGCGTTCTCTATGCGGTGTCTATGATGCGGCCTCTATGACATTTTTATTCAAATGCATATTAAGTACTTTAAAACACGAACATTTTTTACAGGGTATCTATTTGCTTTAAATATTAATAATAAAAAGGCTTTTCCTCTTGTAAAAATGATCCGAGAACATACTCTATATCGTATGATCGAAAAAAAGCGCCTGCAATTTGACTTGAAAATGACGATCTATCATACATGCCATATAACTTTACATATAAAATGACAGCAGACAGTCTCAGGCAGAGATCTTCCCTTCCAAACCAACTATGACACTGTTTTTTTTTTGATGGTATGGTATTTATCTATAAATATTTTTAGAACACTTTGCTCTTTATATCTAATAACTTGTGATTATTTTAACCCTTAAATGAAACAATCAACCAGATAAACCACTTTTAATATTACGTCAGTACAGCTTGTTCTATTTTAATATTGACTGGTACTCTGGTGCGCTCGTACTGTCGCAGAGCAGGCGCGTTCGCTCGGCCTTGCCCAGGCCTCTCCCGTCGGTGGTAAGCCAGAGCCATCTAGAGTGTCGTTGCGCATGCTGATCTCGCTCGGCCACCCTGGTGTCATGATGTCATTTTTATCATATGTTAACACGGCCATTCTGCAGGTGGGGCGTCCTCGCACCAATCTGAAATTAAGAAAACACCAAAACAGTATCGATGTTCATTTCTTATCATCAAAAACTATGAAATGAAAACATTTTTTTTTATTTCGTTTTATTAATCGTAGCTAGTACTACCACTACTCTGTCTATATTTCAGCATCTAATGTGGGGTTGCCACTGTCTCTAGGCATAGTAGGGTTGCTACTATCCTCTATTAGGTAGAGTTGCCACCTTCACAATTAATACTTTGAATAAAACAATCATTGGTGGGATCGCCACCCTTATTAGCAGTTGCTAGTGGGAACGCCACTATAAAATCATTCTTTTTGTTACAACCAACAGTATATAGTGAGATCGTCACTAAGAATCATTCTAATTATTATTATTGCTGGTGGGATTGCCACTCTTTATTTTAATTATTATTATTGGTGGGATTGCCACCCTTTATTTTAATTATTATTATTGTTGGTGGGATGCCACCCTTATTAATCGCCACCCTAAAGTTGGCAATGCCAAACTAAAATACAATTTTTAAGATAATATAGTGGGATTGCCACTCACCTTTTTTTTAAATTATTCTCATGACCATGGCCTCAACTGATCGTGAGCAGCTACTGTGATTCGTTGTCCTTTCTTGTGGAGCTGGTATCGTTCATGCGGTAAGACTTTTTTTTTCTTATTTTTTTTTTAATTTATCTTATCGTAAGACTACTACTATTTTCACTATAATATAAGACTTTATTATAGTATTATTATTCTCCTTGAATAGTGTATCTACTCAAATAAATTTTGAATATTAGCAGTACAATCAATTATTTATTTTAATTTATAGCGGGAGTGCCACTATTTTTTTTTAAGAGTAAAAAGCATTCTCTTTTTTCTGATTTTAGTTTAATTTATCATGAAATTGTCAGTCAAGCCTATTCCTAACAGTTAATGCCTCTTATACTTTGGAAAACTAGTTCTATATCATTAAACATTTTATCCATTCTTTACATTCTACAACATGCTAGCCATGTTATATGTGGAACCAACTATTATCAAAGTTTACAGGATACTATTATTACATTATGAATATTGCAATTTTACATCGCTTTCTCAGGGAATGCCTGTCGATTATCTAGCCACAAATAAAAACACATTTTTTTTGCTACAGGCTTAGGTACAAGTTTTATAATATTTTTTTTTAATTGTTTTAAATCAATGATTCTTTAAAAGAAAACATAATAACTCGTGCAGCTTGCGCGTCTCTAAAATAAACAACAACAAAAAATGCTTTGTCTTATAAAATGCATCTCGAACTGATAATCTCCGAGCTCTGCGTCACCGAATATTAACACAAGACTGTGTAGTTGCATTTTGTCGAAAAACTTTAGCTTAAAATAAAGAAAGATTTACCACAAAATAAGAAATAACACTTTGTGCTCTAAAATAATATTTGTGTGCTCAACATCATCATTTTGTATACATCTTATAGACGAAATCTTAGACATTTTTTTATATAAAAGATGTTCTATTTTTCTTTGAACTTTGAATCTACTTTCAACATTTCTACAGGTCTGGCCTATATAGCTGATATTGCAATCTGAACAGTTTAACTTATAAATTGCCTGATAGTGTTTCGGGTTTTGTTTTTGTTTTACTTTTTAAAAGTAAATTTGATATGGTTTGAGACGGTTTACTATTATATTATTTAATTTCTTATTATGTTATTTATTGTTTATATTAAATCTATTGTATTGTTTCTTCTTCTTTAGTTCTAATAGCTTGACTTAGTGCGAGAGCAAATGTTCAATGAACCTTTGATTTATACGCTGCTAATTTATGTTGTATTGAATGTTTAAAATTATGAGGATCTACATTTTTATACAAGACAATAAAATATCAAAATGTTCTAATTTTGAAAAGTGTTTCTGTAAATTCAGACAGAAAGCTTTCTGCGAGTAACGGACTTAGGGGAGAACCCAAAGCTAAATAATTTTTTTTTGTTTATCAATTAAAATGTCTTTAACACAAAACAATTCTAGTTCATGCGTAGCGTCAAAAAGATCCAAAACTTATGTCAAACGATAATGTTAATCTTACATTTTTGCTTAATGTTAAATATCATATTTAAATTGATTGAATTATTGATAATAACCTTTATTTGGCATATTAGAAAACAAGTCTTAGTTAGGTCGAAGGAAACCAGAATTGAACTCTGACAAAAGGGGTGATATTCCTTAGTGTATTTGTAAGTTCAATGCAGTTCTTGCTATTTTTGATTCAAATTATGTAATTTCTGTAACAATTGTATAATTTTGTCAATAAGCGTAAAGTTGTCAATGATTTTTGTTTTGAATAAAGTTTTCTGTCGTTGATTGACATATTACTTCCTTTTTTTTAATACAAAGAGAAAGGGAGTTCTAGTGTGAGAATATTTTTAGTATTCGGTTCTAACTGTCCGAAATAAACCATTGCAATTGTATCTTTAAATTATTTTAGTGATTTCAATATACTTCATAACTTATGGTATTGTATTATTGGACAATCTGTATAAATTCTCGAAATAAACTCTGGCAATATATTGGCGTATTAACAACTAGGAAAGAAACTGACTGCCACTATTTTCGTTGAAATATAAAACTAATTAAGTATGGCATTATTATTCTTCTCGTATTGATTTAAGTTTTTAAATGACAGCTTATTAAATGAGAACAAATAATTAAATTCAATCTTCAAAAGACTGTAAGTTAATTCAAATAAGTTTTGTCGGGTAACTTATTCGGGTAGTAGTGTAATAAATTACCAATTCTTACATCACCAGTAAGAACTAAATTAAATCGTTTGTAAGACTGTAAGTCAAATGGTCTGATACTTAATTTTTTTTTATATTGTGGAAGGCCATGGTTGGAGTTGTTTATGTGCGGTCACATTTGTCCGCCGCCGCCGATCTTGCTGACGCAGCGCATATCTGGCGTTGAGGAATGAACTGCAACTGCATTCCATGCCTGTCAGCTGAGAATCTTCCATGGTCATGTCCAGGTCTCCAACCATAAACAAATAAAAAATAAAAATAGCTTGATTAATAATATGCTTATTATTAAAACTTTTTAATACTCAACTTTTTTATTCAGAGGTAAACAAATCAGTTTGACTGTGCTAGACATAAAAGTGCTGAGCTCGCTTTCTCGGGCTATTTTCCAATCGTCCTTCAGCTTCTGTATGGCCTTGTCCGGATCGACGACATCGGTTGGCGGTGCGCCGTCAGCCAGAAAATGCTGAGAGACCAATAATCTGGAACCTACTCCATGACGTAACACATTTGGTATGTGACCAGCTGTCGAATGGATTATGTTTATCTTCTGCAGCGGCCAGTACCGGGAATCACCGGTGACCGTGGCCCAAGTTGGTTTTCTTTGTTCAGCAATAACAGTTGCTCGTATCTGTCTTGGAAAAAGCGGTGATGAGGTCATCATAAAACGTCCGGCGTTCGGTGACAATATTGATTACTCTAGGTTTTTAAAGTCTTGCTTGTTTAATAATCGTCATCTTATCGTTGACTTTGGACTCGGTCTTTGACTACGTTGTATTTCGTAGAACTTCGTCACGCTTCGTAGATTTTCAGCCATTCGTGAATTGCGTATATGCTGTTGTCTTGGTCGTAGTTTCGTAGATTGCTCGTCTACAGGTTGCGTAAAGAAAATGAAGCTTGCGCACTAGATACATCTGCTACTGTTACGGATAGGTGAGGCGTTGGCTGCAAATACGACGATGACATCATCGCCATCTTTGTTTGTTTCGCTATGTCAGCAATTTGTCGTCGGTTGGATAATAAGTTATTAAAATTTCTTTTCACTGTACTGTGACTGTACTGTACCTTTAGAATATTCAGAATTTGACTAGGCATTTGTTGACAACATTTTCATTTGAATCTCCTACACACTCCGACGGAAAAATGTCTTCTCTTCATTGCAATGTTTTCATATTGAAGGCACTCACAAATTGTTTTATTGTTTATTTGACATTTAACGATCACTAATACACAGGAGAAATTATTCTTCTGATAGTTCAAAATCGATATCGTCAGAAATTGGCACATTTATCACATTTCGCCATGTTGCGCAATAATGTCTTAACGTTCAAAAACTTCACTTTTCACTAATTTTGGGGCACACTGGCTTAATATCTGGACACATCCCATTTCTGATAATAACTTTAGATTATTTTAACCCTTAAATGAAACAATCAACCAGATAAACCACTTTTATTATACGTCAGTACAGCTTGTGCTATTTTAATATTGACTGGTACTCTGGTGCGCTCGTACTGTCGCAGAGCAGGCGCGTTCGCTCGGCCTTGCCCAGGCCTCTCCCGTCGGTGGTAAGCCAGAGCCATCTAGAGTGTCGTTGCGCATGCTGATCTCGCTCGGCCACCCTGGTGTCATGATGTCATTTTTATCATATGTTAACATATCTACACATTTTTTTAGAAGTTAAATATATAAATTTAAATTGTTATTTATTTTAATTAAACATATTTTATAAGCTCTTTTATATTTTATTGTGACTTACCCTTATTCTATAAACTTTTGAAATTGCACAGAATTGTCAAAAATATCATTATAATCATTTTAGTTTCTTTTTGAATATGAAAGAAAATCAATGGGTGGATCATATTTATAAGTTTATTTTCCTCATGGGAATATAAGGAAAAAAAAATTTCAATGGCGGAATACCTAAACGATTTCATGTAGTAATATCATGTATCAAAATTCTCCCATGAAAATTTTAAATGTGAATTATTGTGTTCATACTCGTATACCACTAAATAATATAAATTACTAGTAGCATTCTACAGTAAATCGTAAACCAAAAAATATAAATTATTTAAAAAATACAATATTTAAAAAAAATCAAATCCCTGTCTATATTTAAATTGCATATAAACAAATTCGGCCATACTTTATGGCGATGGCGCTATACATTTTGTTCAAACTGCCAACAAAAATTAATTATTTAAATGTAAATAAACGCAGTTTTATATAGCACTTTATTGCATTCTGATGCGTTTTAATTTAGGTAACGACTGTTTTATTGTCTACGAGCGATTTTTGACGAAAATCCTTTTACCAATAAATTTACTGTGTGCCATAGGCTATTAATTGTATCCTGTATCGAATCGTCGTTTATATGGATTAAAAATTAAATTTATTTCAAATATTCCTCCTTTTTATTTGTATTCGCTATAGAAATTTATGAAATTAAATATATTATATTAGTCAACGGCAAAGCTGTCACAAGAATCGGAAAATAAATGTAATTCCAAATATTAAACAAATATCAATAATAGAATATCACCACTGACACAAAATAATTTAAATAAAATCAAAATATATATAAGTCTTTGCATATAGGAACTTTTTCTCTTTGTCTATCTCCCTGGTTTTCGCGTCCTTGCTCTCTCTCTTCCGTACTTATCACTTCCACGTTCTCTACATCGTTTCAGTTTTCTCATACTTTCATGATTATCCTATCACTTCCATGCTCCCTCTATCTCTCTCTCTCTCAAAAAATAAAAAAATGTCTGAGCAGTATGCGCGCATATTTGAAGTGAAACTTCTGAATTCCGTCTGCCTGTCTGTCCATCTCCACGTCTTTCCCCCTGCGAGCCCCATCTACATTCCGAGTTTCAGACCCCTCGCTCACATAGGGCCCGAGTTACGACGCTCCAAAGACTAACTGAATCTGACGATTTTTTCGCCATTTATGATGGAGTTTTGTAATGCACGAAATATCGTCAAAATATAATGAAAAGATGGGATTCTTCGAGCCCCATCTACATTACGAGATTCAGCTCCTTAGCTCACATAGGCAAAAATCTCTCAACACCTCGAAACTACCAGAAGAATGGAAGCTGTCATACCTATCAACAATACATAAGAATGGAGATAAAAGTAACTGCAATAAAATCGAGGAATAGCGGTTACAGATACCATTAGCAGAATTCTTAAAAAGAAAGGTTATGAAAAATAGAATTGAAAAAGAATATGCTGATATGGAGGCTGAAGAAAAAGCAGGCTTTAGAGCATGACGATCCATAGCAGACCATCTCTTCACACTAACACAAATCCAAGAAAAGAAAACAGCATTCGATCAGGAAGTTCCTATTCTATTTCAGAATGAAGTAAGGTGGCAACGTCGGGCCATGAGTATCTGTTTACGTCCGTTAAAAATACAATCAAAAAGTACAAATGTTGTCAAAAAAATTCAGTTAAAGTAGTTCAGTAGACTAATTAAAGTTTAAAATTAATTTTAGTGTAAAAAGCCGAACCAATAAGTTACTTTTAGTGAAATATTTGTATCGAGAGTGGTATAAACAACGTGGATAACCAGAGCAGTGTTGCCAGGTGTTGAACAAAATCTAGTTAATGATTTTTAAAGACAAAAGTGGGGCACTTTTGATATAAAGAATGGAGGGTAATGAACAGTACTGTTTAGAATGTGGAAAAGAAGTTGTTGATAAACATTATCAGTGTGATGTCTGCTCAAATAGAATATATATATAGAATGTTCAAAACTATCGAGCTCTGAAATAAGATGTATGCCGCTACAAAAAAGATTATTGATTTTTTCATGTAATGATTGTAAAGAAGTTATGAAAAGAATCCCAAAATTACTTATATTAATGGAAGAAGTAAAAAAACAACTAGAGAATGTAAAAGATCAAAATAATCAAATAAATCCAGCAATACCAACTATGTCAACAAAAAAATATAGCGAAGCACTAATAGTAATCCATAAAGACAAAAAACAATATAGTACAGTAACGAAGAAAGTTATTGAAAACCAAATAAATCCCAGTACAATTGGTGCACAAGTGTCTAGGGTAAAGTATATTCGAGATGGGGGAGTAGCAATAAGTTGTACAACAAAAGAAGATATAAATAATTTATCGCAGAATATAACACAAAGAATGAAAGATAAGTATGAATTAAAAGTTCCAGAGAGGAAAAACCCAAAGTTAAAAATTATGAACTTAGAAAAAAAGATGACAGAAGACCGGGACATACTAATAGAGAATATTGTTTTACAAAATGGTTTAAGGTTGAATGAAAACAGAAGTATGAAAGTCATTAGTATATATGAAGACAAAAGAAACAGGTCACACTCGGTGATATTGGAAATAGACTTAAATACACATATAAACAGATATCTAAAAGAGAAGTGCTACACATTGGGTGGAGAAAATGCAGATTTTTTGATCATATTAACGTTATTCAGTGCTACAAATGCTGGAAATTTGGCCATATGTCGGGAGATTGTACAAACAATGAAATAATTTGCCCTAAATGTAGCGAACATCACAAAATAGAGGTATGTAAAAGTAAAAATGAAATATGTGTAAATTGTAAATATGCAAATGAAGTTTTAAAAATTCCTCACATTGATATTAAACATACTGCATTTAACAGAAATCGTGAAGCTTACAAAAGAGTTTTTCAACAACTACAGATGATAGTTGACTACCCTGATATATTAGGCAATCATAAATAGCAATTAAAAAATCACAATTTAATGTATTTAAATATTGAAAGTTTGACTGCACACAAAACAGAATTAGAGTGGGTGGTAAATCAATGGAAGCCTATAATGATTTGCTTGACAGAAACTCGTATAACTGGGGAAATGCTTGAAAATAAAGTCAATATTGATGGGTGCAAAGTAACACATGCACTATTATCGAGCCGAGGAGGTGCATCAATTTACATTACACAGGAGGTGCTTCAATTTACATTAGGGAGGAGATGCGCTTCAAAACCGTGATAAATATGGTGGTTCACAAAAATGTGTGGCTGGTGGGAGTCAGTCTGACTGTTGGGGGGCATAGATTTAATATCATAAATGTTTACCACTCCTCAAACTCAAGTCATAGTGCTTTTTTGGATAAACTGGAGGAAGTTCTAAATAATTATGGAAGAAGTTCTAAATAATTATGAGAAATGACTTCACTATAATGAATACGAGTTCTTTCAAGAGTAACGCAGGTGTGAGACAGGGATGTATACTCTCACCAATCCTGTTTAATATCTACAGTGAATATATCATGCATCGAGTAATAGAAGGATGGAACGGTGGAATATCTGTGGAGGCAGGAGGATAAATAACCTAAGATACGCGGATGATAACGTGATTATAGCCGCCAGCAAAGAAGAGTTGCAGGAAGTCATGACTGCACTGCGCTCTATTAGAATGCACATGCAGAAATTGAACAGTTTTGGAAAAGCCGATTTAAAGTAATTCAAGAAAAACTGTATTGTTGAAATTTGGCATGTGTATTAATCATACGCAGACCTTTAATAAACCTATTTACGATTTCGCTGTAACATTAACAGGGGAGTCAATATCTGGATAGTTGAAAATTTGCGGGGACATGGAAGGAGCCTCCACGATTGCAATAGTATATCAAAATTAGTAAACAAAAAATAATATTGTTGGAGTCCCCTGGAAACGTCTTGTTTTAGACGGCCAATCCTTCCACCACCGGACCGAAGTGTACGAACCAACATGAGAAATAATCATGAAGGGTTCTTCTCAGAACCGACCCTGACGATGGCGTCCATAAATATAGAGGGTATTACGAATAGCAAACATAAATTACTATCCGATGTTTGCAGAATTAATAAATGCGATGATCTGTGTATTCAGGAGACACACAGGGACCACACACAAAAACAACCTAATATCCCTCGCATGCGACTGGCCATTGAATTGCCTCATAACAAATATGGGAGTGCAATCTTTGTCAAACCTGACAAAGCAATTACATCAGTTGGGTCATCAAACACAAATAACATCGAAATATTAACAGTGGAAATTGGAAATTACACTGTCCCTTCCGTCTACAAGCCCGCAGAAGAAACCTTTATCTTTACACCACCATTGAATTTCGATTCTCAGAAGGTTAAATTTCTCTTGGGTGACTTTAATAGCCATAGCCCAGCCTGGGGATATACAGATTACGACACGAACGGAAGCCTGGTCGAAGAATGGACAGAATCATGTGATCTTACCCTTATACACGATACCAAACTCCCACATTCTTTCCACAGCAACATCTGGAAACGTGGATATAACCCCGATATATGTTTCACTAACCTCACATTGGAAGGGCAGTGTATTAAAACAGTCTACCATCTCGTGCCTAAAATTCAGAACAAACCAAGAGGAACTGACGTATACGCAGCCGTCAGATCACCAAATAT